AGGTTTCCTGCCTTAGTCTTAGAACTAGCTATTCTCACAGGGAGCCAGATTCTTTCTATTGAGGAAAGGAACCAGAAGCCAAGGTTTGATTTCTGCTGGATCTTCTGTTTCTAGGCCTCCACTTGCTTTGCATGTATACACGTACTGATAAGACATTTCTGTGTACATGGTCACCTGTACCCTCGCGATGTTAAGCATGAGTTCCTGTTGTAGCCTTAATGCTAATCCATTGCTGTGGCAGAGTATCCCTACTCCTGTCACCTCCCACCTTCACTGTATAGCCAGGCTTCTACCATACATTACTGAATTGCTCATTCAGTGCTCCTGTACAGCAGTGACCACATGGTTGCCCTGTACTCCTATGGGAAACAACCTGAATAGCTTGAATGTCATCCTTATGTGTTTATGCCTAACTTTCATCTCCCTGCTTCCAAAAGCACGGAGTGCTTCAGAAGAGTGTCTGTCCTCTTGTGCTAGGGTCATAGCAGCCTCAGTGCTGCTCTGTCTGTGGTGAGTGACCAAGGAAGCTTTAACTGATGAGTGCCACTGCTGTGGAAAGAAGAGTCAACTTCCTTTTGTTCATTTAATTCCATGTAGAAGGAAGTTTACTCCTCTGAATGATGCGAATCACCATAGTAGTAAATTAAGAATTATCAAAACGTTCAGATTTTAGTATGCTTTGAAATTTGCTAAGGTCCAACATTTTTCTTATTTTCCTCATTTGGTGAGTAAATAAGAATTGCTGGCAATTAGCAGCTTAATTGTTTGTGTATCAGTAAGGGAGCACTAATGGAGTTTTAAAATCTGAACAGTTGGTCTTTGCTTCCTAATTAGATTAAGCGCCCTTCCTGCATTTTTCTCTCACCTTGTTTTTACTCTCAATTTACATAAGCACTCTTTTTACTGTACAGGTAAGGTTCGGGTAAATGGAAGTCTAGCCTCCTCTCAGGGGCAGCTGATTATGAGTTATGTTTACTTGTTTATTAAAATATTTCAGATGGATGTACATAGTGTCTTGTCACCTGGCCAACTCCACCTTACCTTTGGGTTTATTTAAACATTTTTATTGATGTGTGGAATATGAGGACCACAATTTTTGCACACTTACATGAAGATATTTTCATCTTTCCAGAGAGCTCCTATTTATATACTCTATTGTTTCCTTTATCTTGTCAAAGAGAGCTCATCTTAAATTCTGAGTGTGTATGTGATTTAACTTTTTTTAAAAAAGCATTGCTTGCCAGGCGTGGTGGTGCACGCCTTTAATCCCAGCAGAAGCAGGCAGATCCTTGTGAGTTCAAGGCCAGCCTGGTCTACATAGTGAGTTCAGGTCAGCTGGGACTACAGGGAGACCCTGTCTCAAAAAGACAGAAAAAAAAAAAAAAAAAAAGCATTGCCATCTTCAGTTCTCTATTTTCCTAGTATGGTTGGACTTATCTCATGTGAGAAAATAGGAAATTATTACATGACAGTGAGTTGTTTTATAGTTATTTTCTAAACAATACCCACACACGTATGTGTCATCGGACTATTTGCAAATAGTGATTATGTCTTTAGCTGAATTTCCCAAAGGCCAGTCTCTCTTTGAAGATGAAAACATTGAGCAGGCTTAGTCACAGAACTGCATTTGTTTGCTAGGGCTGTCATAACAAAGTACAACTGACTGACTGGCTTGAAAATCAGAATTTAATATCTCCCAGTTTTTCTGTCTTGTCTGTAGACATGGTTTCCTCTGAGGTCTCTGTCCTTGGCTTGCTTCCCATTTATGTGGCTATCCCCGTGTCACATTCCTGGTAGCTCTTCTTACTGTTTTGTTTGGTTTTGAGACAAGGTCTCTCAGGTTAATCTAGGCTAGCCTCGAACTCACTATGTAGCCAAGGCTGATCTTGCACTCATAGTCTTCCTGCCTCAGCCTCCTGAGTTCTGGGAATACAGGTGTGAGCACCTCACTTAGCTTTTCTTCCTCTTTTATAAGCCATCTCAGTCAGCTTCATCTTAACTTATTCATTTGTTTAAAGATGGATAAAAGCTAATGAAATTTAACTTTGATAGACAACTTCCAAACTTAGTGGCTTACAATAACTTTCTGGATATACTCTGTGCTGTCAAATGGGAATGGTTCCAGCTAAGGCTGTGGGTCACAGTATTGTCCAGACTCATTCAGATGCTGTTGCTAAAGGTTCCCTCATGACTGGTGCGGGGAGGGTCAGTGGAGGTGGCTGGCCTCATGCTGCTTATAATCCAACAGATGGGCCTATGATGATCACATGACTGTGTTCACTAGCATTTCAAGAGCTGGAAGAGAGAGCAAATACTTTTCAACTCTTTTCTTACATCACTTTTGCTGATGTGTCATTGGACAAAGTCAGTCATGTGGCCAAGCGCAGACACCAGGACCAGAGACTCTCAGTGAATACCAAAGAGGAGATGCCTGTGGACTGGGCACTTTGTGATCTCTAGTGACAAGAGGAGATGCAAACATGAGAAAAAATCAACTGAGCATTGCTGTCACTCTTGTGCTTAGAGTTCCTAGTTGAGTTACTTCCTATAGGTATGTTTATTAGTACATCATATTCTCAAGGGAACTACAGTCATCTTCATGAAAAATTAAAATAAAATGGCAAAGCCATAAACCCTCTCAGATTAACTCCACTTAAAGGTTGTTTAAGTTGTGTGGCACTTTCAGAGGAGGTGCACAGGGTAGATGCTGTCATTCCCATAACAGAGTTGAATGTGGACTCCCCCTTGTTTTACAGCCCTAGAAGTAGATATGAAGGAAAGAGGCCCTCAGTATGTTTTTCCAGTCTAAACCTGCATCACTCATTATCACAGACTCTCCAAGACATTCATCAATAAGCATTTATTGTTAGACATGTAGACCTGTGGGTGTGGAGACGTGAGGCTGTGGTTTATGGGCTTTGGGGAGTTCTGTTCTGTATATATTGTGGTAGGCAGTTTGTGCAGGAAGAAGAAACCTGGGTCACCTCCTGGTAGTTAATAGAAGCTCCTGGAAGAACAGACAGAAGTAAGTACTGTGGCTCTTTATCTGAGACAGGTCTGACACTACCACATCTATATCTTAGTATTCAAAGTCAGACAAAGTAGAATCCAGAGGCAGGAGTAGGTGCCAAAGATAATACAGCTGGGCCAGAAGTACAGCGAGAGGGGCCAGTGGGGGTGGGGAAAGCTGAAACCCACAGTTCCTTCTACCGTGGAGGAGGAGGAGGTCCTGCTGCCAAAAGAAAATGTAGTCCAGGACACGCGTGAGGCAGTGCTTACGAGCTTGGTGCCATTTAGTACTTAAACTGAATTGCTTGATTATGCTTCTGGGTTCATTGGGGCCAACACAGTTCAAAGATGCCACTTGTTTATTTGTGTTTTGCAGTACTGAGGATTGAATGTGGGACCCTTTACCTGCCAGGTGTGCACTCAACCACTGATCTATGCTGCCAGTCTCAAAGACACTTGTTAGCATGTTTACTGAAGATAGTGATTAAGAATCTGAACTAGTCTGAAGCCTCTTTCTTTCTGCACGTTGTCAGCTGTGGTTCTCTGTTTTAATCTCTGTGTAGGGAAGGTTCTCTGCTGAGAGTTGAGAGATACATTAATCTATGGGTATAACAATAGGTCATGAATAATCAGGTTAATACTGTATCTCTTTAGCAGCATAATTGTATTAGGCTTTCTCCCATGGCCTGTGGGCTGTCTAGTCTCATTGTCAGGTGTGGGCTCATCCTATGAAGTAGACCTTACACCCAATTAAAGAGTAGTTGGTTACTCCTGTATTTCATACCACTATTGCACCAGTGGGCCTATATTGGCAGGCCAGTTACTGTAGCTCTTAGAGACTTCAGACTGCTTACTCCTGAGTAGGACACCTGTATCAAACTTCTGCCTCCCAGGGCTCAGGCATCATTGCAGAAGAGGGGGCAGAAAGATTATATGAGCCAGAGAAGGTGAAAAGAGTTTTTCAGACAAATGATTAGTTCCTCATAGGAACTCACAGCAGTGGTGACAGCATGTACAAGTCCCACATAAGCTCAAGTCAGACAAAATCCCAGCATAGACGTGGGGAAGTGGGTAGAAACCTGAAGAACTATAGACAATGGGTAACTGCTGGGGACATTCAGTCTCGTTTAAGGGTGAGACTCAGTAATTTGACCAGACTCCAGTGGATGAGCCCACATGTGGAGACACACACCTACTCTATGGTCTTAATAGATCTACTAGAGTAAAGAAATTTGGTGGAGGGTGAGTAAGGGGTTACATATATGGAAAGGGATTGAAATATGATCAAAATATATTGTTTGAAATTCACAAGAATTGATAAAAATTAATTAAAAAAAGAATTTCAAGTATTTTTAAAAAGCTGGGCATGGTGGCACATCTCTTTAATCTCAGCGCTAGGGAAGCAGAGGCAGGCAGATCTCTATGAGACTGGGGCCAGCCTGGGCTACATAGTTAGTTCCAGACCCTATCTCAAAAAAACTTCTTTGTACTTTATTATATATGTGTGAGCATGTTGGAAGTACACACATAATTTATGGAGTCCACTCTCTCCTCCCCTTCCACCATGTGGGTCTGATGAATCAAAATCAAACTCAGATCTCTGGCATGGTGGCAGGTGCCTTTACCTGCTCATCCATCTTACCATCCCTCAAGTACTTGTTTTTTAAAAATGTTTTATTTATTATTTTTATTTTACATTTGAGTGTATGGCCTGCACGAATGTAAGTGCACCTGTGTCATTCAGTTCCTGTGGAGGTCAGAAGAGGGCGTCAGATCCCCTGAAACTGGAGTTATACATGGGGGTGTGAGCTGCCCTGTGGGTGCTGGGAACTGAACCCAGGTCCTCTGCAAGAGCAGCCAGTGCTCATAACTGCTGAGCCCCAAGTACTTGTTTTTTAATATCACCACTACCAACTTGAAAATTGGATTTCTTTCAGTGCCAGTTTACTCTCTCTTCCTCAGTATCTGTTAACATCCCTATTTTGTTTCAGCCCAGAGGTCCTAAAGAGTGAGCCATATGGAGAAAAGGCTGATGTCTGGGCTGCAGGCTGCATCCTTTATCAGATGGCAACTCTGAGCCCTCCTTTCTACAGCACCAACATGCTCTCCTTGGCTACAAAGGTAGGCTGCTTAGGACAAAGGGCTTCCTGTTGCTAACAATCACAGCTTTTTTCTTTAAAATATCTTTGTGACTTTTATAAAACTATCAATTTAAAATATGCAGTTTTATTGCCTACATGATCCAGTTTATCTTTTCTTTCATCTAAATATCACATTATAGCATAATATTCCTGTGTAATTACATTCATTTTCCATATAAAAATATAAAAAGAAATATATCCGATTACATTTTATGGTGCTGGAGATAGAACTCAGGGCCTGGCATCTGCTGGAAAAGTACTCTACAATTGAAGAATGTACCCAGGTCTCAGTTGGGGCTCTTTTTTCTTTTGGTATTTTGGTCTGCCCACAAGGCATCATGTTATATTATGCCACAAGTTATTTTATTAGGAACCTAAAGTTAACTTTAACTCAACTTGGAGAATATAAATTTATATTCCAGAACTGTTTAATTGGTGTTAATTTTTATTTGATTGAGATGTTCTCATTTCTGGTTGAAATTTGTACAAGAAGTATTACTTTTTTATGCTATGGCCATGAATTATGCTCACAGACACCGGTGGCCCCTTGACTCCTGTTGCTGTTTTCTGTCTGTCCTGCAGATAGTGGAGGCAGTATATGAACCAGTGCCAGAAGGCGTCTACTCTGAAAAGGTGACAAACACCATTAGCAGGTAAATAGTTTCACAACTTACAGCATAGAACAGCCATCATGAAATCCCCCACACCTGTATATATTTACCAGTAAGGGGTAAAAACATATGGCGCCCTCCCCAGGGACTCTAACCCTTTTAAGTGTTTGAGCATCATGAGTAACAGTGGCTCTTTGGAAGCACCTGGGATGTCCAAGGGGAAGCAGTATATTCACCTGAAATATTATTCAGCTACTGGGCCTATTTAGAAGGCCTTATATCAGCCTTCAAAGTGCATGTGATATGAAAATAGGTAAAACAAATATATACAAAACTGTTTTATGAAAAAAACAAAATATATGCAAATATGGAAAAAAGAAGACCATATAAAGCTGAAAACGGCAGATTAGGTAATAAAACTGCAGGTACTTTTCTGGGTTAGTAATGTTGTGCTGAATTTAAAAAACAAAAGAGCGGCTCTCCCCATCAATATAGGAGAAGTTTCACAGAAGTCCTAGGCACTCTCAGATGCTCTGACTGTTCCTGCTTGCCTCCTGCTTTTCTAGGCTCCAGCTACACCCATGCACACCGTTAGCCCCTGCTGACCCTTTCTCCTGAAGTTCTCTTCCCTCAGATACATGCAATGATTCTCATCCTGATGTGATGGATAGCTTCACTTGTCAACCTGACACACTTGGGAAGAAGAAACCTCAGTTAGGACATTTCCTCTGAGGTTTGACCTTGTGGATATATCTGTGAGGCATTCTCTTGATTATGGGGCGATGTGGGAGGGCCCAGCCCACAATGGGGAGCACCACCTCTGAGCATGGTGGTGCCACCCCTGGGCAGGTAGTCCTGGATGATATAAGAAAGCAGGCTTAGCACTGGCCAGAGAAGCAAGCCAGTAAGCAAGGTGCATTCCTCTGTGGTCCATACCTCATTTTCTGCCTCCAGGTCCTTGCCCTGCTTAAATTCCAGTCTTGGCTTCCCTCAGGGATGAACTATGATTGGGATGTAGAGTCAATTAGACCCTTTCTCCCCAAGTTGGTTTGGGTCAGTTTATCATAGCAATAGAAATTGATGCCACAGAGTGGGGTATTGCTATGATGGACCTGACCTTGTTATTTGGGGGAAGATTATGGAAGTGTTTGGAGCTTTGGGCTGAAGAAGTTGTTGAGTGCTCAGAGCTTAATGAGCTATTCTGTAGGAGCTTGGAGAAATGCAGAGGATGGAAGTCTGGCTTGTGAAGTTTCAGAGGGAGGTTTAAGAGTCCATCAAAGACACTAACAGGGCCATTTGTGAGATATTTTTTATTGAAAATCTACGGTTTCTGGTCAGCTGGGGCTAAATAATCAGTTGAAATTAACAAGAGGCCACAACCACTGAAGTGAAATCTTTACTGGACAATTGATGCTGGTTTGGTGGGACTGAAAGATGAAGCTATGATTACGAGGCCAGCATCATTGAGGTGAAATCTTCTGGAAAGTATTTCCTTTGGATCAGTACACAGAAACTGTGGTTCAGGAGGTACCAATGCTGCATCTCAAGCTGGAAGCAGAGCTTGGTAATGTTTGAACCTTCCATGTGGTACTGGCTTTGATGGTATGAAAACTGCAGAATTCAAGGGGTCATGGAGAGACTGAACCAGGAGATGCTACTGGTGAAGATGTAGCTTCAGTTGCAGTAAAGACCCTAGCATGTTGTAGGTACCAGAATCGTGGGATGACTACTGAGGACAGCAGCAGGTGTGGAGTGGAGCCAGCCTGAGCCTATGAGACAAGCTGAGTGCGCTGTGGATGGTAGAGCTGGAGCAGTATGCCGCCCACGCCTTTTGGAGCCCAGATGATCATGAGCGTGTCCCGGATGTGAGACATCGGACTATACTGCTGAACTTTGGTTTTCCTTAAGTGTGCTGTGGTTATTCCCTCTTGAAACAAGATAATATGTAACTTGTTTTGGATTTTATAGGGACCTATATTTAAGAGAATTTTTAAAGAGACTTTGAATTTTTTTAAGTATTGAGATTTTTAAGGACTGTGGAAGTTTTAAAGTTGTATTATGTGTTATTGTATGATATTAATATTAGCATGAGACCTTAGGGACAAGAAATAGGAAGGTTATGTGATAGTGATGTGTTTGTATGTCCAGTTGACAAGGGATCCAATGAGTTGGATGGCTTCAGTTGTTAACTTGACACATCTGGAAAGAGGGAGCCTCAGTTGGGGAATTTCCTCTATTGATTGGCCTTTGGGCATGTCTGTACGGCATTTTCTTAATTGTTAACTGATGTGGGAGGGCCCAATCCACTGTGGTGCCACTCCTGGGCAGGAGGTCCTGGGTTGTAAAAGAAAGCAGGCACAGCACTGGCCAGAGAAACAAGCCAGTAAGTAACATTCTTCAGTGGTCTGTGCTTCAGCTCCTGCCTCCAAGTCCCTGACTTGCTTAAGTTCCTATCTTGGTTAATGTGAAGGATGATCTGTGATTGTGACGTGTGAGTCCCTAAGTTGGTTTGTCAGTTTATTGCAGTAATGTGGAAAGCAAACTATGATACCTCACTTCCCTTGGGTTTCTATGGAAATGGCCCAACAGAAAACCCATCGTAGCCATCTCATTGCCTTAGTGTTCCTCAAGCCACTTGACCACTTCATAAAACTGCCGTAGTGCCTGCCGTTCTGTGATCGGTAATCGTTACTGTCAGGTTGGATGAATTTAGAATCACCTAAGAAACATCTATCTGGATATATCTGTGAGAGAGTCCAGAAGACTGAACTAATAAAGGAAGACCCACCCTGAATGTGAGCAGTACCACCCTGTTGGCTGCATCCCAGACTGAATAAAAAGAAAAATAGACACACACCTTTAATCCCAGCACTCGGGAGCAGAGGCAGGTGCATCTCTGTGAGATTGAGGACAGCCTGGTCTATTTAGCGAGTTCCAGACCAGTTGGGGCTGCAGGGAGACCCTGTTTCAAAAAGAACCCCCAAAATAAGAAAAAAAGAAAAGAGGAAGCAAGAAGAGCACCAGCATCCTCTCTGCTTTCTGACTGAAGATGTGGTGTTTATAGTCACTTCCTGCTCCTAATGCACTCCTGTCATGATGGACTGTATCATTTCCTAAGCCAGAAGCCAAAATAAACTCATTTTTTTCCTTAAGTTGCAGTTGTCAGGTGTTTGATTATGGCATCAAGGAAAATAACTAGTATACAAAATTGGTACTGAGAGTGGTATTGCTGCAATGATAACCCTGACCATGCTATTTGTAGACCTTTGAAACTGGCTTGTGGGATGAATGTAGAAGAGCTTGGAGTTACAGGCTAAAGAAGCCCTAGAATTCTGTAAGCAGAGCACAGTGGACCATTTCAGTAAGTTTGGAAGACCACAATGTTGAAAGAAGTGCCCAAACTACAAGCCCAGCTCTTGAGGCTTCAGAAGGATAGAAAGACTCTTATCAGGAATTGGACTAGAAGTCACTCGTGTTCCATTATGTCTGTGTATGAAGAACTTGAATCAGGCTGAATTCAAAAGTAATGCACTGATTTGTTTCAAGGCAAAGGTTTTAAGACATCTGTTGTGTGAGATTTTTACTGGGGAGACATAAATAAATGTCCAGTCACTCCAGGTAGGCTACCAATGACAGACCAAAAAGAAAAAAAAACTCTCCCAGAGTCCAACTTGGCAAACCAATGAGTTTACTGGAGTTACTTATAGAGTATGGGGGAGGGTTAGTTCCAGGAACAGGGATGATTCAAAGGCAAATGTGTCACCAAAAAGCCCACCCAAGCATGGATAATAACTCATGAAAATCGAAACCTTGGAGCTTTCTACGTGACTTGTAAGCAGGTCAACATGTCAGAGAGTCTCATCCAGGCAGCAAAGATGGTCTGAGAGTCTCCTCTCCTGGAAGTTGCTTCCATAACACTGGGGAGGGGACCTTGTGACTCTTGTTAGTTTTAGGAACTTCTTGAACTTGTGAGTTGCTTACTTCCTGAGTCTCTGCCTTCTGTCCCTTCAAGAGGAAATGTTTCAATTCAGAATAAATTGCCACAAAACAACAGTATAGTAGTCAGGCTATGGCATGGTTACTGCTCACTGCCCTTATCTACATTTATAAGAGAAAAGAAAAATATGCCATTTGGTGAGGAAAATTGCAGATGAGGTGGACTTGGAGAAAGCAGGTGATTGTTAAAGAGATTAGCTCAGCTCAGGAGAAACCTTGCAGTTTTTATTAGGAGAATAGGAAAGTTGCCCTGAGGGTTAGACCCTACCCATGGTAAAAATGCAAATTGATTTGAAAGGCGAGAGTCTGAACTGAGAAGTTGCCACAGAGTTCCTTTCCTGAAAACAGCCACCTAGGGAAATGCTTTCCCATGCTTAGCTGCCAAGACACACTAAGTGGGCTAGACCACATCTCACAGAACTCAACAGTGTCATCCACATGGTGCTGGTTTAGCAGGCATGCAAAATACAGGAGTCGTGGCATCATGGAGGTTTCCACCCAAGTTCCAGAAAGCTGCTGAGGTGAGGCATTGTGGATGCAGGATCAGATTCTCTGCAAGAAGGTCCCAAGAGACCATCACACAAAGCTGTGAAGGTGAAGTGTAAGTTACAGTGGAGTTTCCCAGGATATTGGAGATGCCAGGACCTTGGCATACCCACCAAGGAAGGTATGGAATGTAGCTGACGTAAGAGAGAAGCTATGTGTGCTACAGGTGGCATGACTGGAGAGGCGATCTGCCAAAGTTCATTGGAACCCAGATGATGCCACCGAGAACTCCAGATATTGGACATGGGGCTTCAGAGCTTGATATTTGCCCTGCTGGGATTCGGTCTTGCGTTTACCAACCCTTTTCTTATTATGTTTCCTTTCCTCTCTACTGGAATGAGAATATTTAGTCTGTGCCACTATATTTTGGAAGTATCTAATATTTTATATTTTACAAGGATTGATACCAAGAGGTTACCTTGAGTCTTAGAAGAGGCTCTTGCTTTTGAACAATTTTAGAACTATTAAGATGTTGAGGTCTCTTACAGATGAGCTAAATG